GAAAGAAGAAAGGAAAGGGGAGAGGGAAGGAGAGAGGAAGGGAAGGAGGAAGAGAGGGTGGGAAGGAAGGAAGGAAGGAAGGAAAGCAGGGGAGGAAAGGAGGTAAGGAAAGAAGGGAGGGGGAGGGAGGGAGGAAGGAAGGAAGGAAAGTGAGGGAGAAAGGGAGAGGAAGAAAGGAGGGAGAAGGAAACAGGGGGAAGGAGAGGGGGAAAAGAAAAAAGAGGAAGAGGAAAAAGGGGAAAGGGAGGAAGGAAGGAACGGGAGGGGAAGGAGGGTCTCCTTGGGTCTCCTTGGCCCCAACCACCCCCCCCAAAGTGGCAGAGGGGCCCGAGGGGGACACTCACTGGCTGAGAAGGTGGCTTCGGTGTGCACGGGAGGGGTGGAGGGCAGGAAGGGCGGGTAGCCCACGAAGAAGGAGCGCAGGGAGCGCTCGGCCAGGAGGGGGGAGCGCTGGGCAGGGATGTTCTCACAGCTCCCCACGCTGTTGTGGATCTTGAGGTTCAGGGGCTTGTTCTTCTTCTTGACCCTGGGGGGAAAAAAGGAGAGAAAAGTGAATTTTGGGGTGGTTTGGGTGAGGAGGATGGGCAGAGGGACCAGCAGCACCTGTAGGATGGGGGAGTTCCTGAGCCTGGGAGAATTAAAGCCCTTTCCCTACGAGGATTTCCAAACCCTCTCCACCACCAAAACAAAGGGAATTCTCACTAAGGAACACTCCAGAGCTTTTCCTCTTGCAAAACCTGGCTGTAAAGGGTCTGTTGGCCCAAAAGCCCATCACCCCCAGCCTCGCTGACCTTATCACATCCCCTAAATCCTCTACATTTAATGCCACCTACATTTAGTGCCACCTACATCCATGTTGGGGCCCAAGCAGGAGAACTGAGTCCAAGGAAGGACTGGGGTGCAGAGGGGCACGGGAGCAGCCCCAGTGGGATCCCAGGAAGCAGGACAGTGGTGTGGACAAGGCTGAGCACCAGAGATGTTCCATCAGCCCAGTTTTCCGCCTGCCTTGTGCTGTGACAAGGACCAGCCACCCCAGAAGGGCCCAGAGGGGTCAGGGTGTGGGTTCCTGGCACTGCAGAGCCCCCCTGGCTCAGCCCCTCCCATCCCAATGGCACGGGGAGGAGATCCCAAAACAACCCCTGGGAAAGGCGGCTCAGCCCCTCTGGAGATGTGCAGGATTTGGGGCTGAGATCCTTGGAGCACAGTCATGGTCATCAGGGACTCCTGGAATACAATATTCCATATACACTCCATGAAATACTCCACACATTCCCAGCTGGAGCACTGCCTCCAGCCCTGGGAACAGCACAGGGAGGACGTGGAGCTGCTGGAGAGAGTCCAGAGGAGGCCACAGAGATGCTGCCAGGGCTGGAGCCCCTCTGCTCTGGAGCCAGGCTGGGAGAGACCCCCCTGCAGAGCTGCCCCAGCCCTGGGGAACAACAGCA